CTGACTACCTAAAATAACCATTTTACGTACTATTTTATTCAGTCTGGAAAAGACTCATTTTAGTCCCTAAAATGGAGTCCCTAAAACAGCTGTTTTTGGGAACGTATACAAAAAATAGTTTTTACGGTTTTTTAAACAGCTCAGTTTCAATATTAGTTACTTTGGAACAGAAACTGATTTATTTAAAATGTGATGATTCATAGCTGAAAAAATAAATTTTACCTAAATATTGAAAATTTTCGTCGTGTCCGTATAATTTGTCTTTTCTGTGCAAACAACAAGGTAAAGGTTAAATGGCCTATAGGTGACAAATCGTCCCTTTCTATCCATTTTCGTTCCACTAAAAATTCCATCGATGCTTTTTTTGCTGACCACCGGCTTCCCAGTTCACAAAAGGTTCATCGGCGCCTCCTAATCAGTGAGCTATCTTGCGGAAACTCTCTCGAGGCTTTAAAGAAACCCAGACAGGAGAAGAAATCATAACAGTGCTTTTCAACCAACGTGTCACTTCCAAGGCGCTGTTAATCGGTTATTCCCTGTCCGTGATCGCCATCTTTAAACTATACCTTCATTGATCTAATTGGCCAACCCTTCCGATTTAATAATGAATGCGCCCCGCATACGGGAGAATCCGGATCACCGGAAAACCTTCAATTGAGTGTGGCGTAACCGCCACGTCCTCAAAAAAATTAAATTTTACGGTCAATTCGCACCTGGAAAATCCTTCGTGAACCACTCGAATTTCGGTCTATTACCCCCGAAATTTAGTTAACTGGCGTTCTGTCGTTCCTTCTGTTCAACGCTTGGTAATTTCGAGTCTTAAGAGATGTTTTACGGGATGTTCTCCGACTCATGGTCTTGTCTTTCTCCGCGTTGGCCTAGTTTAACTTGCGTAATTACTTGTTGGGGACTTTGGTTCTCCGGAATCTAGGAGCAGGGAGCACCGTATTGCCCTATTCGAAATTTTCTTGCAACTTGAAACACTGTCTTCTTCTAATTAAATAACGGATGTAAAATAAAATCGACAATTTTCACGAACGATTTTGAGCCAACTGCCCAACATTTTTTCAATGACTAGCATGCACATTTCTTGGTTTTTTCTAATTAATAAATAACAGAAAATATATTTTTGATTGAAAAAAATTAGAAATTGCTCGCTACGGTCCTGGCTCGGAGCGGATCAATCTCATTTTAAAAACTCGACGCCATAACACCTCAAACATCCTCGAGATAGACTCAAACTCGTTTAAACTTCCGAAAAATTGTTTTCAACCTTTAAGATTGTTTTAAAATTGCTTTTCCTTACTTTCATTTAATTTCGTTTTCACACACGCACCTCTAAAAATTTCGGGACGGGTGTTGTGTTTTAATTTCAAAATAGCGATAAGATTGCAACATCAAAGAATATTTGTTAAGATTACAAGATAAGGAAAAATGTGCCCGAGTAGAATAATGTCTCGTCATCGATCGACACAGTTTCGCCAACCCACCGCGATATATATTTCAAGGAATAAAAGACAAAATCTGAGACTTAGATACTCAATTGTCCTGGAACTGCATCCGTAAACTAAGAATCAATAAAAAACATTGGATGAGTCTAGAATAGGAAAACTCGCTAAAATTTTCATAAAAATTCACATAAAATCTGTTTCGCAGGGGCGCGCACTTGAGCGGAAAATTTACTACCCGTAGCATTAATTCGCTTGATGTTTTCAATAAATGCGATTGGAAATGTTCGCGGTTTTAAAGTAGTAATGAAATTTTTTGCATTGAATTGATTACTCCTAAATCATATTTTAAAATAAAGAGGGTGATTTGTGGAGCCATAACCATCAGGATAATGAGTTATGCAGGGAATTTATCGGTGCACATTATTACCAACTTTATACTTCCAAAACACCAAACTTCTTGTCGCAAGCTTTTAAAGTTCAAATAGTGGTAATAAACTAGTAAGACAGCTGTCATAGCAAGACTTTATCTTCTTTAAATGTGACTTAATCACGTCTTTATGAAAATAACTTTAGAGATGGAGTATTAGCATTTTTTAACCATTTTGGGGAAACTCGCGTAAAAATTTTAAATTTTTTTCACATTTAACATGATACACTTTGTATTCAAAGTAGGTTTTTTAAGAATAATTATTCATTATTTATCTGAGACGATTCCCATAAAACCAACTGTTTATTTTTATTTTTTTGTATAGCACAAAAATAACCAATCCGATAGAATGATCGGAGATTAAGGTATTCCAAGGTTTACTTATGAAAATTTTTAGGTTAATGCGTTCCGGGAAACTTAATTAGCTTTAGTAGTGGTATTTTAAGAAGGGGATTGGTTGTGCTAGTGGAGAACTGTTCTTTGATAAATCCCATATACTTAACCGAGAACTGTGTAAGCAGTGAAACTTGAAGATTTTGCTATTACAATTTCAAATATGTTTCAAGAAGAGACGTAGACATACTAAAGTAAATTATGCAGAGCTATTAAGTGAAAAACTTTATAAGAGAAATGAGCGTCCTTTAAAGGATCAAGACTTTTCCAATTATAAAATATCGAAGTTAATATCAAGACAAAAACCGATTTGAGGCCGGAACGTCTGGATAACGTTATTTTATATCTTTTTGCTATTTTTTAAATGAGGAATGACACCCGAAATTGGGAATACTAAAATAAAAGGCGGATGAATAATTTCTTTCACAAAAAACATAATTTCGTGAAATGAACTAAGAAATATAATCAAATTTCGCTTCCATTTCGGCCTGATATAGCTTTCTGAGAATTTAATTTATCTGAATAAAAAATTCCAAATGCAAAAGTTTCACTTGCAAAACAAACATAAGACTTACGGAAAAGGGATTTTTCTTAGAGTAACTTTAAGATACGTTGTATTGTAAGGCAAGTGTTAAAACAAAAATTGGAAACTGTCATTTACGTCGGTCAGGCGGTAAATGCTTCTAGTTTAGTTTTCTGATAATCCATTTGAACCGATATTACCTTTGTTGTAATAACCAATCCAACTATTCAAGTCTAATTATATCTCTGCATATGCGTTGCGGGTCGAGTACGTTTTACAATGTTGCAATAAATGAGGGACATTCTTGGAAATTAGGACATAAAAGTTAATTGTTGCATGCAGATGGATAATCAAATAGTAGTGTAGAATTAAACGAATGTACATAGAAAGAGGGTGGGCCACTCATTGATTTCTTTTTGAAATTACTGTTAAAACTATATTTCAATTCTAAAATTGATTAAATTTAATTTGAGCTCTGTGTCTTTCCTTTGACAGGTACTACGAAAATTTTTTCGACAAAAATTGAATTTTATTTTGTTAGTTGTAATTTCAAAATCATTTTCTTAATTGAAGCAAATTACCATTTAAAAAAAGAAATGATTTTTGCAGAACTCAAAAGCAAAAAACAAAAACCTTCCAAAACCATTTATACTTAAAAAAAGGATTGCATTTTTGTAGTAGAAACGTTACATTTAAATTGAAAAGGTTGCCAAAATTAATCCTACACCTGTTATTAATAATTAATTTGATTTTTTATTTCATAATTGGAGACTCTTAGAATAAATAAGACAGGTATTTACTATCATGTGCAAAAAATTGACTTTCAGGAGATTTAAAAAGGTACAATTGACATTAAGATATACCAGGTGAATAAAAAGAATGAAACCAAACGTTTTTTGCTTAAACTATTTATTTTTTGAAAAAACTAATTGATGAGTGCTAAAGTACTATAAAAATGTGATAATTTAACAAGAATAAAATTTTTCGAAATTTCCTTTTATTTTTGAGTTCTACAAAAAAAATATTTTTTTTAAATGGAAACCCACTATAAAATCATTTTTCTCATAAAATCTATACTCTAAGGATTACAACTTTCTGCTTTATTTTTAATTTTTTCAAAAAAATTTTTTCACATAAATTGCAATTTTGACAAAAAAAAATCGCATAACTCAAAAACAAAACAAAATTTCGTTCTGAAATTACACATTTTTTATATTACTTTAATTTATATTAATTATTATTTTCCGGAGGCAAATGATTAAAAATAAAACCGCTTGGTTCCTTACTTTATATTCACCCTGTATGTATAGCAGATATTGCATAATCAACGATGACATACTACTTTTCAAAGGGTGGGTTTACAGAAAGTGAAATAAATCAAAATTAAGTTATTCGCAATTAACTTCAAAATCCTGAAATCTGATGATTGGTTGTTCATCAAAATTCAACCAATCACGTAACGAATTAAATTTAATTGCAATCAAACATTTAATTTAGCTTCTATAAATCCACTCAAAGAATGTTACACCACGACATTAAGAGGTTTCATGAAATTCCGCATCACATTTAATTTTTATACTTTTAGAACACACTCCCCAAACTGAGTTGTAAATATGCCACCGAGACCGAATTACTGAATTTGTAGTAGTGAAGGACGCTTTCCTGGGGTTGAAAAACGTTCAGTAAATAAAACAGTTTTGTGTAAGATGGGATTAGAGTTAATAGTTGGCACTAAAGCTTGACAGAAAAATCCGTAACCGTATTGTCAGCGCAATAGCACTTTGGGCAAATGGAAGGAATGCTATATCAAAATGTCTAGTCTTTTTGAATTAAATGAAATAGGATTACGGATTGAATCGCTGAAACTTTTAACTTTTCTTCGGTTTAGTCTCGGTCGGTTTAATTCTAATTGTTAGTAGGTAATCTTGGCGAAGGTGGAATTAGGAATTTCCGATTGGTACAGTCTAAATTTCGATTAGTTATCGTTAAAATTAATTGAGAAAAGCCGTTAGCAATTACAGAACTGATTCATGAAATAGTTTATGTTTGTCAGTGTGGCAGAACCTCTAAATCGAAATAAATAACTGCCGTTAGCCAGACTCCGACTATCGATTAGCGAACAAAATGTGACGCTACTATAAAGCCGGCTTAACTGCAGACAAATGTTCCGCCATTGGTTTCGTTGACGTGTGTGTTATTGTTGCAGATGTCCTGACAGCGGGGCCAGGGCCTCCAGAATGCCTGTGGAAGAAGATTATGGCAGAAGACAGATTACGCTACAGCAGCATGCTTCCCAGTCGCCGGTACCGCCGTCCTTGCAGTGTCCCGTTGGTTGTATTTCTGCGCCTGCAGATCATCGCTATGCAAGCGATAAGAATCTGCTTGATCCTGCTGAGCGCTACTCAGACAGGTTCGGTTCGGAGCGCAGCAATTCGGATAGGCTGCCGTCGGGAGAACGGTACCAAGGGGTGTCGGAAAGGTACCCGCTGGGGGAGAGGCCTCAGACCTCCGTTTCGTCTGAACGCTTGCAGCCCGCCGAGGAACGAACGCAATTCCAGACGGAACGATACCATTATGCTACGTGTCAGAGGTACCCGGAAAGGTACACGCCCGTCGGTAGCCTCGATAGGTACCACACGCACACTGTCGATAGGTACTCGAGAACGAGCACTCCGACCGATCGGTACCACACTCTGTCTGACAAAGACAAAACTAACGCTTCCGATAGATATACACCCATCGAGAAGTACCAAGGGGAGAACTTCAGTGCCAACGATAGGCACAATTCCGCGCAAAGCGTCTGTTCCATCGAACGTTACACGCCGACGGAACGACACAGAAGTAAATCAAGTGACATGTACAAAATCAGAGAGAGATCAGCCAGTTCGGATAGAAAAACTGAACGGTACCAACAGTACCAGAACAGGTACGACCAGTACGTTCCTGAACGTTTTCCCGCTATTCCGTGTCCTGAACGGTTCGCGACGCAGGAACGGAACGAGCGTGTACCTTTCACTCAAGTACCTTACATGGAACCACCTTCTCCAGCTCCGGCAAGCGATAGATTTGTACCACCGCCGCCTCTATCCCCCGAGAACACACCAAGTCCCGACTGTTTTCCTAATAACGCTTTTCCTTCTCCTACTAACACGGTACCACCCGCACCCGAACGTTTCATTCCACCACCACCACTATCACCTTCGCCCACAGAAAAGTACTCCCCTAAGAAAGTCGAAAGGTACGAAAAACAAAGGTACCCGGATCGCTACGACCGGTACCACCGCAACCAATACTACCCCCCAAATGAACGCTATCATGTAAATCCTGACCGTTTTGTCACCAACGACCGGTATATCCCACCCAACGCTCACATGCCCGTCGAACGGTACGTTCCCCAACAGCAGGAACCCTACTACAACACATACCAATCGTACGAACGCTATCCCAAATTCAACGCAAACGACCCGTATATGCGACGCGATTTAGCGTTCCATTACCGCCTTCCGCTTCCTTATTCCTCCAACCAGTACCAAAGAATCCGGTACTCCCACATGGGTACCCCAAACCGTGTTAAATGTTGTCAGTACCAAGACGGGTATCAACTATCCAAATCGAGTCCCGGTTCCAGTTCGAGCAGTTCAGTGACGAGTCAAGGCAAAGACCTCCACCAAAAAGAAGTACCATGTGTCAACAACTCCAGTCTTCAAGAAATGCAGTGCCAAAGCTACCAAACTTGTGCGTACCAACAGGAAAAGGGGACGCAGTGCGGCAAAGAGTGCGTCGGTTTTGTGTCGCCTAATTTACGCGCGAAAGGACAATGTCGCCACAGCATCTGCGCCAGTCCTAGCGTGGAGTACGTGGGGGCTTCGGGGGGTCGACACGTGTGTGCCACCCCGCCCCCGAGGGGCAGCATCGGCTCGGCCGACGGGTCGGTCTGCAACGACAACTGCTGCACGACGAGGAGGTCCCAGAACTCCTTGACCGTGGCTGTTTGGTAAGTAGTTATTTACGTCTTCCGTTCTTTTGTTTCACTTTTTTCATATTTTATTCACGTTGTATTGTCTAATTGTTTCGCGAGCGACTCGTTGAGATATTACCAACGTCTGAAAGTGAAGTGAGTAATGGTTTAATACGCGGGAAAAGTGGAACGGTAAAACGCTGAAGCGGCATTCTCGACGTTAGGTTGGCGGTATTTTATACGTAATTAGACTTAACGTCAAAGGAACTGCTGTCACACCGGCTCCGATAAAGTGCGAGCAAAGCTACTTACACTCTTGAACTACGCAGGGCATTTGGTGTATATTCTGGTGAAAGACATCGTCAGCGAAATGTGCCTTTTCACCAAACTAAAACGCACTAATTAGAAACAATAAATGCGAACGCTGAAGGATTTCATGCAACCAGGCATGCCGTTACAGACAGCTGTACGGACTTAAAAATACATAAAAATTTACATTATTGCCAACCGCTTGAAGGATTACAAGAATTTAACACACCTGTCAGCTTTGGATGACCACCATTAGGGAGAAAAAAAAAGTGTCTCAGACGCAATATTTCACACTTTTGCCAAGCAGACAATACGAAAAAAAATATTGCAAAAAAAGAAAATTTATGGATTGTAGGTGTGAAGAATAAACGAAAAACTGCCACTTCGTTTGGAAAGTTGACAAACTTGTGTTACTTCTTAGAACTTTGCTAATGATACCTTTAATAGTTAATATTAGTCCCCACTTTGGCTTTGGTTGGAATAATTAGTGCCTAAATATTCTATCGAGCGGTCCATTTTAATATTTCAGTACTATTGAATTATTAATTTCAATTAACATAATTTACTGTCTGTATTATTTTTCAAATGACATTTTTAATTACCGCTTTTGCTCTTTTTGAAAAGAAAAGGAAATTCTAAATTTGTACGAATTTTGATAAAGTGGCGTCTTAAAAAATGATGATGTCAAATACTATCCGTTTCGTCCCACTATCACATTTAATCCATCGACCAAACAAAGGAAGTCCAAAGTGGTCTATACGTGGGATTGGACACAATGGAGTTGTCGTCGGTCTTTGAATTGGGTCGTTTTATCAAATGTTTGCAGAACGGCACGAATTACAAACAGATCGGTATTAATGTCCTTAATCACTCTGGTTAAATGTCAACGATGTAGCCGTTGTGGTGTCATAATATCATTATTTTCGTCTACAGGCTGCCAATGACCGACAAATTCCAACATAGTGCTACCAACATAAGTTTTCATGAGAGAACACAGCGATAAAAACGAAGGTTACTGTACAAGGAGTGCGTGTTTAAACTTAACAAAATTGCTGTTTTTTCTTTAATTTTGTGTTCAGTCCTAGCATTCTCGTTCTTTTATAGCTGCTACCAACTTCAAAATTAATCTCAATTAATCGCGGATTAGATTATGCAACACAAATACGCAGTTTTTGTAGGCAACACAAAATACTTCTAATAATTTAAATGTTGAGCAATTTCGAAGAACGTGAGTAATTGTTTATTCGCGTGAAAACTGGTGTTTAAAATTTTCGACTTTTGTTCAAGTTGGAGGAAGTAGGTCACACCTCAAATAATTGCCAGTTGTCTGCTAATAAAATTTCTCACGTTTTTAACAAAATATTTAAATAAAAAAGTCGTTTTGAAATTGCAATCCAAGGTTTTAAATTTCACTGTTGTCTGGAATAAACACATTATTTATATTTTCCTAAATTAAATAGTAAACAGAATCCATTAAATAAATGGAAGGGAAAAAGAGGATGGAAAATAGAATTGTTTTAAACGTTTCTATGTCGGTAAAATAAAAACAGGTGTGGTAACACTAAACAACAAAAAAATTCTCTGTGAAAACAGATCCAGTTACAACAAAAAAATGAAATAGCCTTGCCACAAGTATTTCCATTATTGGGTTTTATTTTATTTAAAAATTTATTTTTATTTACATTTTTAATTTTTATTTACTTATCTGTAGGTGTTTCAGGTTGGGCAATCTGGAAAATAAAATTCACCAACAGTCGCGCGTTTGAAGTTTGATGTGACAGGTGTATTCTCAGGTGTAAATAATACAAAATGAAAACGTGTGAACATACGGATATTGCGGAAGTTTTCACTTAAAACATTGACAAAAAAGTGTAGTTCACATAAAGTCTATCTCGGAGTATCTTTAGAAAATGGAATTAGACGATCTGTAAGTCGTATGTTGGATTGTAAAAGCCATTTTGAGGTTATGTGAAGTGTCCCATCTGACTTGAATTTCCGAGTTAATTCAACGAAATGTGATAATTCCCACACAAAGGCCTTAATTTCATTTATTTCATGTAGAATTCGAGTTTAGTTTATGAAGGAAAACTTATTTTTACTGCGGCTTTTATCTCGGAAGTTTTATCTTTGTAATGACTGCGAGTGTTATTATGAGTCAGTTCGAATTTCCTATGTTTTCTTGTGCAATTAAAAGGTAATCATCGTCAAGTATGGAGTTTTAGACAGAGCCGTACTGGGGCAAGTGTGTCAATGCCAGGGCGGGACTGATATCGGTCTCATATTAAAGTCAAATAAATTAATTAACAGGTTAATGGCTTATTATGTACGTGAAACTCTAAGATTAAGTGTAAAATGTTGAAAGTGGAGTCCTGACATAAGCTGTGATAATATTACCGTGTGCAATGCAAATTCGGGGCATTATAAATAAGACTTATCGTGCAACATTAGCTTTGCTGTCGCGGCAATTTGAATAAGAAAATACTTATAAAAATTCATCATTCCGAAGTTCTTCTATCTCGAAAGGCAGCTTGTTTCACGACGACAATAAAAAGGTGAACGCAAGGGGAAAGGTAGTCACGTGCGACCTTTGAATTCGTTAAAAGCTTCTCCACTTGTACACTGACCCGCAAAATAATCGTATCATTTTCAATGTCTAAAAATGACGCCACAACATTAAAACTCTTCCCGGTGATTGATCTGTTTTTTGATCAAACAAAAGTGAAACTTGTTATTTTATCATTATTTTGGAAACGGCGTTAAAACATTGAAATGTTTAGCAAACGCATATTATTGATTCGGTCTGGGGGTAGCTTGCAATGCGAAACATTTTTAGATCGCTGAATAGGGAATTAATTAATTGGAGCGTAACATGTATAAAGGGATATCTCGAAAATAGGGAGTTGAATATTGTTTTGTTCTAGAACATGAAATTATATGTATTTTGCAGATTCATGGATGCGGTAATGGTTAATATAAGTACTTCACCTATTTTTAAGAGAAAAAACAGAAGAGTTTATTTGAGTGTCAAAAATGTTAAACTTGCCCTCAACAAACAAATCCAATAGTTTTATGAATGTCTGCATGCAAATGTCAGATTACTATTGAAATTGCATTTCTGATCGTTAATACTATGAACATATTGGATATTTTTTAGTACTGAAGAGGGTTTTTTATTTTTTGTTTTAGAATAGATTATACTGTTCGTATAGTTTCTAACATGTATTGTTTGCCATATTATATTGATATTTGTATATTCCCTAAAATGGAGAAACTAATCCAAGTTACAGTAAACACAATTTAATTAAACACTAATTACTGTTTTGTATCGCTATAGATTCGATCAGTGTAATTTGCGGACTTATGAGGTCTCTATTATATACAGGGGTGTTCCATTTTTATTATTACAAATTTAAACGCGTGATAGAATATTCAATTTTAAGCCAAAAGTTTCCTATGAACATTGTATATCGAAAGATACCATGTAGGTGAGCTAAACGATTTGAAAGGGGTGCGTTTTTTAATGGGTTTTTCTCAATATTTCATAATAGGTAAAATTACAAAATTTGGTATACATCTAAGCACATTCAAAGATCAAATATGGAAATTTTCAATCAGGGGTGTCCTAAACTGAAGGGGCACAGAGTAAAAAGAATTTAATATTAAATTTTAATGCTGTTTATGGTTTGTAGCACAAATTTTAAATTGATTTTACTCAAAAGCGGAAATTTCTATCGAAAAAACGCAAGAAACTTCTTTTGTAAGAGACGGAATTTAAGATTTTGTTGCTGAAAGTGGCAAAAAACTAAAGCCAAAATAGTTGGGGTATTTTTTACCTTATATCCCTCAGGTTAGGACGCACCTGATTAAAAATTTCAATACAGGTTTATAGAAAACTTTTGTCTTGAAATTGAATATTCTTTCATTTATTTCAATTTGTAACAATAAAAACACTCTGTAGATTCCAAAAAATGTTTGCAAATTATTTTTGTTGTGAGATAGTCAATACTTTTTAAAGCCGTTGAATAAAGTTTAACAATGACAAATAAGTAGATTAGTGGAAAAACAAATGTTTTGTTTAATTTTAAATAAAAATAGTAGCTCAAATCTTGGCATTCATTAATTTGCAGCACAATTTCTTTCTATCTAATTCCTACCCTCATCCTGAAAGCACCGAATGCGTTCTTTGTCTAAGTAGTTTCAATTAAACGCTCGAGGAACCTTTTAATGTTCATTTGCGTCTTTTTTACCTAAAACTCGACTTTTAAACGTTACTCAAAGTACAAAGCTCATCAAACGAACATTATAAATCCCTCAGAAACCGGTTAAAGTATGATTCCACGTACTCATTCTTTATCTGCAAGGTATTTTGCGCTAAAGTAGACTCCGCCATCATCAATTCGTCTTGGAGAGATCCCCCGAGTTCCAATATCGGTAGTAAACATCGATAAGTTTATCTCCCGTATGCTAGAAGCGAAGCGCAACACCTTCATTTAATAACTATTCGATCGCTCTTTTTTTCTCTTCGGTGGAGAACAATCATCGCGAAGCGAGTGCATGATAAAACCTCTAGTTTTAAATAACCCTGTAAAAAATTCCATCTAAGCCCGTTGTAACTCGGTGTGTGTTTTTCATAAATGGCGTAATATTTAAAACGTCCACGCGTCCTTTTCCTTGTGTCCGGTTGTAAATTACGGTGCAAATGGGGGAACTTTCACCCTGACGCATCA